GGCCTTACAGAAAATGATAAAATGATCAATAGATTATATTACCACATCCCCCAGCACTACCAGAGATCCCCACCTACAAGATCACAAAAGAACTAACAAAAATACCCGGGCACCTTACAAGGGGAAGCATACAATACCTTAAAAGAATCAAAGACATGGCAATAGTTGAGGTCAAAATCATAGCCTCATTCGATATCACATGATAGCAGTTTTCAGGTCCATAGACCTGGAATTAGTCAAGAATCTCTGACATTACTCCACAGCACACCTGACTTAACGAAATACACAAAGATTGAAATACCCAGGATCATGAATGTTATCAATCTCTGTCTAATCATATACTTTCAATTCAACTGACAATCTTATCAACAAATTTAATGTATGCCTATGGGATCATCACTTTCAAGACTCATAGTAGAGGTTGTAATGCAACATCTGGAATCACTAGTAATTCCATAAATACAACCCAAAATATGGATCAGATATGTAGATGACATCATACTAATAGAAAAGGACCAGAAAAAAAATACACAGAAATCCATCAACATCTTCAAAGGAAACCAATTCACCAGGGAAGAATAAAACAACAATTCACTACCCTTCCTGGATATCGTGATCATCAGAGACTATAATGTCAAACTGCAAACACAAGTGTACTGAAAAGTCATGTACACCTATTAAGTATTTCACTATCAAATAATAACCTTGCCTCAATCAATCTGAGGTAGAAGGGACCTTAGAGGTCTTCTAGTCCAACCCCCTCCTCAAGCAAGAGACTATACCTTTTAAAACAAGTGACTGTCCAGTCTCTTCTTAAAAATCTCCAGTAATAAAGCACCTTCTAAAGGCAAGTTGTTCCACCGGTTAATTGCTCTCACTGTTAGGAAGTTTCTCCTTAATTCCAGATTGCTTCTCTCCTTGATTAGTTTCCATCCATTGTTCCAATAATTGACACCAGGGGTGTCAAACTGTTGGCCTGCAGGCCGGATACGTCACACGCAGGCCACACTCACCCCAGCTCTGCAAAGGGAAAAATGTCTCGAAACATCACGTGACAGCAATGTGATGCCACGAGTTTGACACCTGTGCTCTAGACTAGCCATACCTAGTTCCTGCAACTGTTCTTCATGTGTTTTAGTCTCCAGGCCTTTAATCATCTTAGTTATTCTTCTCTGCACTTTTTCCAAACTCTCAGCATTGTGTGGTCTGACTAAGGTTTCATAATGCGATACTAATACATGTGATTTTGATTCTATGCTTCTGTTTATACAATCAAGGTTTGTATTAGCATTTTTGGCTGCTGCCGCACACTGCTAGCTCATATTTAAGTGATCATCAACTAGCACTCCAAGGTCCCTCTCACAGTTACTGTTTTTGAGTCAGGTTTTGCCTAATGTGTATGTGTATCTTTGGTTTTTCCTGCCTAAGTGTAAACCTGGCTTTTCTCCACATTCAGTCTCATTGGATAGGGTCCATTGTTCAAGTCTGTCAAGATCTTTCTGGATCCTGAGCTTGTCTTCTGGGCTTGTCTTCTATTCCTGCTAGTTTAATGTCAT